GCGGCGCATCGAGCGCCACGCCGAGCGCGAAGCTCGCGGCAGAAGCCCTCAGGCTCATCGTTTTGAGCGCCGCAGCCGCAGCAGCAGCAGCACCAGCAGCAGCGCCAGCCACAACCCCCACTGACACGGGTGCGCAAAACGGCGAGCTCCCGGCCGAGCCTCTCGCCGCGGCGGACCTCTCCGCGGCTCTGGCTGACATCTCCTCGTGGCTTCCCCCAGCGATCGCCGTGGGCGCAGCCGCGGGTGGTGGCGACGGCGGCGCGGCGGGCGTCCTCAGCGCGCTGGGCCCTGGGGAGGACGAGCGGCGGCTGGTGGAGAGCATCCACGCGCTGCTGGAGGACTTGGAGGGCAGCTGGGCCGGGCTGGCGACGGACCTGTCTCATGCGCGGGTGCGTGGGTGATCTGTGTGCTGATGGCTCTGTGGTCTCAGTGCTGGTGCCTTGCGTTCAGGAAGCAAGACGCAAAAGTAGACATGTCATTGACGTCCTTGTCGTGTGTCCCACTTGCAACGCAGCCTATATGTTTCCATCGCTGCATTTTCTCTCCTAGGCGCTCAACCGTGATCTGGAGGATGAGAACGCCGATCTGCAGGAGCAGATCAGGCGCATCACCAAGGCGGCCGCAGCAGCTGGCCTGCGGCTACCAGAGCCGGCGTCGGCAGACCCGCAGCAAGGTCAGGACGTGGGGGACAGGCCGCAGCAGCAACAGCAGCAGCAAGAGCAGCAGCAGCAGCAGCTCGCACAGTTCGCCAACGGCTTGCCGCAGACTCCGGTGCAGCAGCGGCGACCAGAGGGCACGACGGCGCAGCAGGAGGCGCTGCTGCTGCTGCCCGGCGGCATCACGCCGGGCGGTGAGTCGGTCGGGGACAACGCGGCCGGCCTGGGCACCCCTGGCCCTGCAGCAAGCCCGGCCAGGCCCGTAGCAGCAGCAGCAGCAGTAGAATCGTCACCAGAGGCACCTTCGAGCAATGCAGGCCGCGGGCCGCCACCATTAGTGCCGGCGCGCGATGCTGTGGCAGGCTCACCCGCGGGCTCTGCTCGCGGGAGCTTCGCTGGCGGCGGAGATGGGGTTGGGGGCGCGGCGACCAGCACGGCCGACAGTGCACCCGCGCCCGCGCGCTCCCAGAGCAGCCGCAACAGCGCGGCGCGGCAATGGGGCGTGTTTGGCATGCTGGCGGGGCGGCAGGGGGTTGCCAGTGCGCGGTCGAACGCTGTTGGCCTGTGATGGGCGGGCTGAGCTGCATCGCAGCATCTGGGGATTGTTTCGTCCAGCCAAGAGCCGGAAGTACTGTATAAGATGGAGTTACGTGTTAGGCAACGGCCCCTCTAGCGGTGTGTGTCATCTGATCAACCAAAGTTTAGGTATCGTCTTTTCCATATACTACGAGCAGATTGGGCTGGTGCCATCGCTCTGCAGCTGGCCATGTGCGCCGTCACCTTGGCTGTAACATCAGCCGCCATGCGTTGCACTGTGGTGATCCCTGATAGGAAGAGCTAGATGCCCTGACAGGATAGGCAGGCACTGTGACAAGTTTGCCTGGGCCAGTAGATCTCTATCCATTTTGATGTGGCTGGCATCAGCGTTGCATCGGGGATGTAATCAAGCCACATTCGCTGCCACTGAACCAACGCGGACGGCCTTGGCTGCGCACAAGAACCTCATCAACGCTAGGTGGGTCCTGCTGAAATAGCAATCTCCTTGGGCAGACCAGCCCCGGCATGCCTAAACACTGAAACATGCATGACTGCAAGGCGGACATGGCCTTCAAGCAGAGTCACGGCATTCCTGTTACACATTTGGTGCGCCGACCAATCGTGCTGGGCGTGTGGTTGGTTTGTTAGTCGGGGCGGTGAAAACAGCCTGCATGGGTAATCATCCATAGTCCGCCGACGTCCAGGTAGCAGGCAACAGCTTGAGCCCATCATTGTAAGGCGACGTGCGCAGAGCGAACGCAGTTGTACTTGATACATACCATTCAAATTACGGCGTAAGTGTTCATGGTGTACAGCCACGACAGCTTCACAGAATTGCAGCGAATCCAGGCGATACTTTTACACCCCTGTTCGACCATGCGCAATGCGGCAGACGGCACGCTGACACTTCCAGGTGTTGCGACGTGCCTGCTTTTGCTGCCGCCCTACATGGAGGGGTGGATGGGTGTCGCGGCCGCGTTTATGTGCCGAGGAGACTGACCGATGGTGAGACCGGGAGTCTGGCCAGAGACTGATCGATTGTGTGTAGAGAGCAGTGTGAAGAGAGTGCAATTGTAGCGGTCGAACTTGTCACGCACTGGCAGATGGCAAGCAGGAATGTCATGAGCCCTGGGGGATAAACATGACAGCCACATGCAGCGCGCGTGTGTGGAGAATACGGCTGCACATGGTCGCGGCGCCTGCATGGCTGCATCGCCTGCACGGCTGCACCACCAAGCACACCAGTGGCGACATCCTACAGGAAGGATTCAGAAGGCCAAGCAGGCAAAACTGAAAGGAAAGGAGCAGGAGGCAGAATTGCGACCGAGCCAGTTGGTGCTGGTCGAATACGCCTGCCCTGCGCTGCCAACGAAGCTGTTTGTCTTGTCGGTCCAGCCGTTGCACGTGAGCGCCACGCCGCCAAACATGTCGGAACCTGACCAATACAAGCCGGTCCCTGCCGGCATCACGCCCGCGGCGATGAGAGTGAAGTTGTCGAGGGGGCCTTTCAGGAGGTCCGCCCAGTCGGAGGCGATAGTTGCCGGGCTGGCGCCAGGCCCCACGATCGGCACGTTAGTGGGTACGCCGTAATTGGTCGGCATGTTGTTGATGGCGTCGTCGGCGCCTATGCTCAGGAAGGCGCGCACGCGCAAGTAGCCGGGAGGTCGGCGGGCGGTGGCCAGCTGGCATCGGCTGTCGGCGCCGGCGCGGCCGCCAAAGTTGCCACCCACCGTTGCGTCGCCGTTTACCGAGTACATCACAATCTGCACGGGCATGCGCAGGAAAGCGTCCGCAGGAACGCCGCCCAGGGACGCCGCGTCGATCGTCGCGCCGACACGGACAAACTCGCTCACATTGATGGCCGGCAGGCTGGCCCTGAGCGCGGCGAGGGCCGCAGTGGTGTTCGTTCCCAGCAGCTGCAGGGAGTTTGTGAGGGCCGCAAGCTCCGCAGTGATGTTGGCAGACTGCTGCTGCACGGCTCCCTCGAGGAGCGCGGCTTCTGAGGAGACGAGGGCCGCCTGCTGCGCCGCAGTCGCGTTGAGAGAGGCCGTGCCAGCAGCAGTCGTGGCAAGCTGCCCCTGGAGAGCCAGCAGGCCGTCCCGCAACTGCGTGACGGCGGCGCCCGTCGCGGTCGCGTTTGCCTGGGGGCCGCCGGGGGCCCCGCTGATCGCGGCGTCGATCTTGGACTCGAGGGCAGCCAGGCCGACGTTGAGCTGAGCTGTGGTCGTCAGGCCGCAGCCGACGCGCAGGGTCGTTGGGTCCTGTGCGGGCGGTCAATAGCGGCAGCAGATTGTTGGGCAAGGTCATAGTGCGGAGCAAGCGCGTTGTCGTGTATGAGAATCACGTGCCCAGACTGCAGTAGTGGCACCATCTAAGCCCTCGTCCCCACCCCCCCTTGCCATACACACCCCAAGGGGCGCGCCAAACGCACTGCTGTACGTCTACTTCAGACTGGGGCGAAGCACCCTCGCTGGCCCGCGCACCTGGCTGTCGGTGGTTGCGTTGGTGGACAGCAGCAGCTCGCCGCAGAGCTGCTGCAAGGTTGCGGACGACCTTGGGGTGCAGGACTGCACAAGCCCTTTCACCTGGGCGCACTGCGCATTCACGAGCAAAGGAGGCCGATGCATGTGTGCCCCGGCACCGTTTGTTGGGGTGTTAGAGAGCGGGCAGGAGGGGTCAAAGGTGGAAATGGGGCTGTTCAATATACGGTCCCTGGCGTGGCACCTGGCGCCCATCAGGCCACCTGCTGTGTGTTGGGCTCGGTCGGGGCTGCGGCTGGCGCGTCCGGGCCCAACCGCTTCCCAAACGCAGCGGCTGGTTGCTAACCATTGCGACCCTCTTGACCTTGGGCGGGGAAGTAGCTGCGCACACACTGCAAGGCAATGAAACAGCAAGGGCAGTTGTGGCGGGAGGGGATTGAGGTTTACCCCCCCCCCCCCGAGAGGGGTCCAAGGGGTGAATCTGCGAGCAGCCACCCAGGCGTAAGTGATGCTTGTGCCTGTCGGCAGGGCAGGGACGTCTCCTCGACAGCTGGACCTTGTCTGGCGTTGGCCTGCAGTTCGTGGGTTGATGCAGGCTGGGAAGCCCATTGCTGATCATGTGACAGTGTCCCAAAATCCAGCAGTGGCGATTTGGCCAGCAGCCCGTGACACAGGCGCAGGGCCCCTTTCCGCCCCGCCACTCCCAAGCCCGTCAAGCGCCGCACCTGAGCATGGCAGCCAGCAACAGCAACACGGCCAGGGGCAGCTGCAAGCCCGTTCGGTTGCCCATCACGGGGTTCGTGATGTGGACACCCGGACCGACCATCTGGTGTGTCAGTCGGTGACGAGCTCAGGACACCTCGAAAGGATGAAGTGACAAGATTTTGAAACGCTTCAGTGGGGTCGATGAGCGGCTACGCTGCGCCGGGGCGGAGCCCAAAAATACAAAAGGTGGCAAAATGGTGAAATGACAGGACATAACGAGTCCCAATCTTGGCGATTCATTCACTAATGAAGTCTTCGACAGGTGGCTGCAACGCAGCAGTGCAGTGGCACGAAATGGGGGGCGTTGAGAAAGCTGCCAGAGTGTACCCGCGTGTGTGCCAGCCACTCCGAATTCTGAGGCCGCCAACGGCTGATGCGCTCCACTAGGCAAGCTCCGATGTATTGTACACTTTGTGAACCTCATGCAGGGACCGGATTTGCTGCAGATGCTGGAAGACGGGCACAGTACTGGCTTGCCAGCTCAGGCTCACACCCCATGGCGCGCGGGTGCGAGCGGCGCAAAGTCTAGACTGCACCAAGGCTGGCACCCATGAGCTCGCTGCAGGGTAAGTTCCGTCCAGGCATACGTATTGGCACCACACTGGCCCATACTGAAGGCTGCAAGCTGATGGGGTGTGCGTGCTTCAGGAAAACAGGGCGCCACACCGCACACAACAACAGTTGCAGGTGTCGACCCCTGCGGCTCATGCAAGGGCACTCGAGTCTGTGCTGGCTACAGCTTGAGATGAGGCGGGGCGGCGCAACTCCTCAGCACGCATGGCACGATGGGGGCCTTTGCCTGCTGCTCTGCCTCGTTCGCCGCGCACCACAGCACCGCCTGTGGAGGGTCGACACGCTCGCTGTGTGCCCGTGCTGCCCACCAGACTGCAATGCGCGTTTCTTTGAGTGCCCAACCACTGCGCACCTGCGCGCCTCGGCGCGTTGCGCCCCCCTGTTTTATGCTGCCGCAGTCCCCTTTGCTTGCTTGCGAGGTGTGAAGTAACCAAGGCAGCTCCGCCTTGCCTGTCTTGTGCATTGCTCCTTGATTATTCAGCAGAGCTTTGACTCCAAGATCTTCCTATCAACACTCGCGTTTGCTCCACAAGTGCCTCTTTGCGCAACCGTTTCAAGTGCGGCTATGATAAGCTTCCTTGTTGCACCCAAGCAAGCTGGACCCCCAACTCTCTCCCTGGCCATTGCCTGCTCGTTGAAAGCTTAAAACAATGTCAAAACAATGACGTACTACATTACCAACCAACCACAAATGCAACGGCCGTTCCGTCACCCCTCTTTCAGCAGCCGCCGCAGCTCGCTCTTCCTAACCTGCGAATACAACAGAGATGGCCAAACGGCAGGCCTGAGACGCCGAGTTGCGGCGATAATGAGGGGGAGGAAGCTGACGGGGGGCATCCAGCGGACCTGGCACCCACCTGCACCGAGATGCTGCCGCCGCTGCGGAAGACCCTCAGGGAGTCGTCCAAGTACACCACCTAGGGGCGGTAGGGGGGCGGTGGGGCAATGCGATCAGCGTGGCGTTGTTGGAACCGCAGCTGTCGGGCGATATGGGCACCTCAAGCGCGTGCGGCGCTCCTCGCGACAGCTCGAGGCTGCGCTGGCGTGTGCGTGTGCGCTTCAGCCGCTGGCGCCGCCGGCCGTGGCGGCAGCTGCATACCTCGAAACGACCGCTGCCGCGAATTGGCAGGGGGACGTCGAGGCCAAACAGGTGCAAAGAGCCACTGGAGATGTCCGCGCGGATGGCTTTGGGCGTGCTGGCGCTGTCGTCCTGCGGCAGGATGCAGACGGTTGAACAGCCTCGAGCCAAAAAGGTGCGGCCCAGGCGAGGCACGATCGACCTCCCTGATTCCTGGTGACTGCACGGCCCGCGGCTGGGCCCGCCCCTGCGTCTGATCCCACGGCAGGCAAGTCGCTGGAGAGGCAGAAGCCAGCACACAGGTTGAGTCGGCCACCGGCGCGAACCACACCC